GTTTAAATGCAAAAAAATATTGCGTTTAATCGCAATATTATTGCGATTAAACGCAATAATCAGTGCGATTAAACGCAATGATTATTGTTTTTAAAATTGATCTTTTAAACGTTTAAACAATCTTTTGCGATTAATCGCAATAATCATTGCGTTTAAACGCAATGATTATTGCGATTAATCGAAATGTTTTGTGTTTAATCGCAATACTTTTTGCCATTAAATGCAATGTTTTGCGTTTAAACGCAATGATTATTGCGATTAAACGCAATAAAAATATTTCTTTCTCTGAACTGGCCTCAACGGGCTTCCGTATAAATACGTATTAGAAATGATTTTTTTTCGCATATGTGCTCCAATTTGTAAATAATTAGACATGGATTATTATTCATCGATTAACGATTTGTCGTCTTTTACATAACAACAAAATGTTACTGCACTTGAAGTATTTGTACTAAATTGCTTCAATATTTAATTTCAAAATTTTAGGACCATTCTACATATACGTAGGTACTTAAAGTGCTTATAACAACATTAATTTTCCTGATTAATTTTACGAATAACGCAGAGCTAAGTTACAATGTATATAAACAAAAATATAAATACAGGGTATTTTCGCCCCGTGTTATTTTCGCCCTTTCACATCTAAATCAAAGTACTGAAAGCACTCATGGGAGTTGAACATGGTGTAAATAAAATCTTTGATCGGGAGGTTAAGTGAGTGAACAATATTACATGTATTAATTATTATTATGTCTGTACTTTCAAATACAGACAACTGTTTCACATTTTTTGAGTTGGAACAATCTTGATCGAGAAAGACATTCAGAGACATTGAATAGCAAAAAATGCATGGGTCATAATGCTTGCCTGCCTACATTAGTCCTTTTTTATACCCCCTGCTTGAAAAGCGGGAGGAAATTTATTAATCGGGATTTCCGTCCATCTGTTTGTTACAATTTAGGTATACCTATCTCTTATCCGCTACTCCTCTAACACCACTGAACAAAATTTTCATAGAATCTTTATTACATATTGCCGTTGTGCTTCTTCTATTACTTTTTCATACTTCACATATTTTGGGTTTTCCCATTGCAAAACATGCACACTGCCATTATATACATATTAGAGGCGGTTGATCATTTATATCACTGCTCACAGTCTTCAAATTTGTAATATATTTTTCCATTGCACCTTTACCCATGTGTTATGAAAATTTCAGTTTCGCAGGAATAATATCAATGCTGATAAAATGTGGATTTTAACACAGCATCCTTTTAAGAGCTAACAGGTTTGTTATATAAAACTTCTCTGTGAATAAAAATGTATTTCACTTACACGAACATTATACATGGAGTACGTCAGAACTTAATCTTTTTTAATATCGTGAAGAAAAGAGCAATACAAAGTTAAAAACAAATATTTATTGACAAAATATGAAAACAGTGGTATATGTGAGAGTTTGTGTGCGCACAAATTATCTGGTATGTAAATGAGGTTTTCCTTTTATTAAAAAAATATATACTTTATTTTGTTGTTTTTAATCGCGATTTTACAAAAACATCGGTGTCCGTTTTTGGTTTTAATATTTATAACAGAGTACTAGTTTTACCGCTTTTGGCAGGTGATACTGCTGATTAAGTAATAAATACACATTTTTCCTAAAGTTTTTATGCATTTACGAATTCAATTAAACCAAAAAAATGTTCATGAAAAGTTTGAATAAGACTAAATTTAACGTTTGCCGTCAGTTTGTAGAATTGTCGTTCGTATCGCTTTCAGTGTATGACGCTATACTAAAAATGAGTTCCATTACGAAAAACTTTCATGGTTCTTTATAATTTAGTTTTACATATGTACTTTGAACGAAATCTGATATTCAAAATAAGATTACTTTATCATTACATTTACTTACATTATGAAAATTAGATTAATTCAGGAGAAAATGACATGAACTATTTGTCGCGGATGTTTATGCATGTTTGCTGTTGAATATCATCGGAGTAAATCAGCCGACACAGTAGCATCGATTTCGTCTCTATGTAATGAACACAAATTACTGCGCATGTTAAATACGTGATGACCATGGGAGATTGAACATAGTTCAACTCCCAAAAAACAAGTTTGTCCCTTTAAATTCGCCCAAAAAGATTTTTGTTTAAGATATACCATTTACTTTGAATTCGACCCGTTTTAAATCCGCCCACGTCAGAGTAGGGCTAAAGAGGCGAAAATGAAACGGGGGCGAAAATTTCCCTGTATACAGTATCGTAGATAATTCTTGCCATGAAATAATTATTCTTCAACCACGATATCTTAAGTATGAAAGTAAAAACGTTAAATCCTTACCATCAAAAAGATAAATCCTTTCACATCGGATTACAATGAAAACTGAACGATAAGTGAACGGTGAACGCAAAGTAAACGGAACGAAGAACGAACGGTGAACGGTGAACGTGAGTGCACGGTGAACGCAAAACTGTGAACAGAGAGCTAACGGAGTATAAAGAGCTAAAAGAACGGTGAACGCAGGCTAAACGAACGGTGAACGAACGGTGAGCGAACGGAAAAATGGGAAAGTAGAACGTTTCAGGGACTGTACCACAGTTGTAAAAACAAAATATTATATATTTCCGTGCCATTGCGATTCCGTGTAAAATAACCTATTTTCCTTCAGCATGTTCACACGGTTCACACGAAGTCCTTGTTTTTGTCCTGTCAGTCAAAATTTTTCGACACAGTGAAGGACGGTGTGAAAATCTAGTTTCACCAAACATGCCGAAGTCAAAGAGACTTAGTATTTCAAAGTAGTTTTAACATTTTTTCCTATAATTTCTACATCCGATTTTTGCATTACTGCAGAAAAATGTGAATAAATAAGGGGAATATATACATTTAAGGTTTAAGTTTGAAATTGAATTTGAAACATAATCCCAGCCAATATAAAATACTACTTTCGGCACATGTTTATTTTTGTGCAAATTTATTTGCTCATTATATTTTTTATAAATGAAACAAAGGCGAAGCCTAATAAAAAAAAATAGACTAAATATACGGATCAGACACGAATTATGAACACTTTTTATGTCAGTGACCTTGAACTTGAATAAATGAACTTTGTTCAAAGTCAGGACACAACCTCAGATCATAAGCAATGTTTGTGTGAAGTGAAAGATTCAACTTTTTCCATAACAAAGAAAGATATTGACCGGGCACAAATTATAATATTTTTCTTCCAGTGACCTTAAACTTCCTCAAATGACCTTGACCCAAGGTCATGACACATCCTTAGATCATGAGCGATCTTTGTCTGAAATGAGAACTTACCAAGTTTATCCATAAGAAAGATATTGACCAGACACGAATTATGAAATTTTTCTTCCAGTAACTTTGAACTTACCCAAATGACCTTGAACTAAGGTCATGACACATCCTTATGTCAGTTGCATCCTTTGTGTAAAATGAGAACCGACCAATTTTATCCATAAGAAAGATATAGACCAGAAACAAATTATGAAATTTTTCTTCCAGTGACTTTGAACTTTTCCAAATGACATTGGGTCAAGATCATGACACATCCTTATGTCAGGAGAAATCTTTGTGTTAAATTAGAACTTACCAAGTTTATCCATAAAAAAATATAGACCGGACACGAATTATGAATTTTTTCTTCCAATGACCTTGAACTTCCCCATATGACCTTGGATCAAGGTCCCGACACAACCTTAGGTCAGGAGGAATCTTTGTGTGAATTTAGAACCTACTATGTTTTAACCATAAGATATGGACTGGACATAAATTATGAAATTTTTCTTCCAGTGACCTTGAATTCCCCAAATGACCTCGGTTCGAGATCATGACACATCCTTATGTCAGGAGAAATCATTGTGTGAGATTAGAATCTACCAAGTTCATCCATAAGAAAGATATAGACCAGATACAAATTATGAAATTTTTCCTCCAGTGACCTTGAACTTCCATAAATGTCCTTGGGTTAAAGTCATGACACACCCATAGGTTGTAAGCAATCTTTATGTGAAATTAGAAACTATAAAGTTTCTCCATAAAAAAATGTATGGACCGGACACGAATTATGAAATTTTTTTCCAGTGACCTTGAACTTCCCCATATGACCTTGGATCAAGATCATGAAACAACCTCAGGTCAGGAGAAATCTTTGTGTGAAATTTGAACCTACCAAGTTTATCCATAAGAAAGATATGGACCGGACACGAATTATTAATTTTTTTCTTCCTGTGACCTTGAACTTCCCCAAATGACCTTGGGTCAAGATCATGACACAGCCTTAGGTCAGGAAGAATCTTTGTGTGAATTTAGAAGCTACCAAGTTTATCCATAAGAATGATTTGGACCGGACAGAAGTTATGAAATTTTTCTTCCAGTGAACTTGAACTTCCTCAAATGACCTTGGTTAAAGAACATGACACACCCTTATGTCATTTGCAACCTTTGTGTGAAATTAGAACCTACAAAATCTACCCATAAAAAAAGATATGGACTGGACACGAATTATGGTTCTTTTTTCTTCCAGTGACCTTTAATCTTCCTCAAATGAACTTGGGTCAAGGTCATGACACACCATTAGGTCATGGGCAATCTTTGTATGAAGTAGTAGATTCTAATGTTTCTCCGTAAGAAAGATATGGACCGGACACGTTTGCACAGACAGACGGACAAGGTGATTCCTACCCCACCCCACCCCACTCCCCAAACTTCGTTTGCGGGGGGTATAAAAAATATAGTCTTAAATCCAAATAAGGAAATTCACAGGCTTTAAAATCATCCTACTCTTTATTCAATTTTCCTATTAAACATTCAAAAACTCAGGATTTCCATGTCAACGTAGACGCCTTAAAATTTACTGGTCTGAAGGCTTTAACTCTTAACATTACAGTTAACATAATTTTGCATTTATTTACAACTAATGAAAAACAATTAGAAAAAAAAAATCATTTTCGTATAAAATCAATGACAAGCCTCACCATTCTGACATTTCTCGCCCTCCACTCCTACGTCACATCCGTTCAGGCACGTTCCGTTGACATGGTTACATGTAATCCCGTCACTACAGTTACCACACATAAATGAACACTCCAGACCGTACCTCTGAATGTCACATACTGAAAGGACCAATAAAACAACCAAGAATAAGAGCAAAATTTTCATTTCATACATGTAAAAAATAACGCATATTTACTACATTATTAATTCTACACTGTAAAGGTTTTCAAAAGATCGTCACATTATCAGAATTCAAGACTGACGATGAGTGTGCGGTATTGGAGTGCTGAATAATGAAAACATTATAATGAATTTTTTCCATAAAAATTTAGTATCTTCAATAAAATACGTGCTTTTTTCTCACTAATAAAAGTGATTACTGTCTATTTTAATTGAGGTTAATGGAGAGTGTGCAAAAAATATTCTTTTTTTGGAAAATCTGCATCTTTGTTTTCGATACAGCAATATACCCTATTTTGTTTAAATTTTAGTTAAAACATTCCAACGGCATAAATTGGCTTTGTTCAAACAAGTCTTACAAGAACAGACGGGGCCTTTATATCCAAGTTCACACGGCGGGTGTGACCGGTCGGCAGGGGATGCTCACTCCTCCATGGCACCTGATCCCACCTCTGATGTTTCGGAGGTCCATGTTTGCTCTGCTCTTATTTTGTATATTGTTTAATGGAATTTGAGATTGAATACTGTTCGTTAACTCCATATCCTTCATTGATATGCTTATTCGCTGACCTTGATTACACATAAGCCCTTGATACCCCTGTATACAACCCAGACATTCTCCTGTAGTGATGGTACATCTTCGTTCCTGACAGTTCGCTGAACATGGCTGATCACAGTTTTCTCCATAAAAGGTTGGATCAGAACATCCTGAAGAGAATATAGATCTATTTACTGCTAGGAAATACAGCGATCATTTTGATATACCGGTACATGTATTACTATATATTATTTTGATGTATGATTAATATCCGAAAAATGGACATTAAACTAGCCTAAACAGTGCTCACCAATAACTTCCAATTCACACAGTTCGTTAAATGCATATGTAGAATAGAAAGTTGGATATGTCACATCCAGTCTCCTCTCGTTGTAGTATATAACATAACGTCCATGTACAGGACAGCTAATTGTCTGGTTCTCTGTCGGTGTTCTGTCTACTTGTTGTAACTCATGGAAACAAAGATGGCCGTCCTGCTTTCTTGTGGTATTGGAAACGTAGACAAAAAAGCCAGCGAAGCGATCGTAGTAATAACCAGGACCTTGAAACAAAATATGTAGCTGTAACTCAGAGGGAAAAAAGATCGTAGAGGCACCAGGACATGAAACAATCATGATTAAAGTTCTAAGGGTTTTGCTTCTCATGGTCAACAATACTAATTAATGTCATCTTTTTTAAGGCAACTTAGCTACATTTTGCAAATCTAGGATTTGGTTAGGAGGGGTTACCGTGTTAAATGTACACGTAAAGTACTTAACACACATCCCCATATATAATGTTTATACTACCTACTAGGTGCATTATCCGTTCTGTAGAAGATGTTGATGTAACTGATGCTGACCACACTCTCCAGATCTACTCTCCACTCTGCCGTTGATTGACTTGGTCCTGATTGTGTACACTGTCCTCCTGAAGCCCCGCGGTCTGAATATTGTCCGTCTACCGCCTTCGCTGCTCCCCATTCTATTGGCTTGTCAGGCCAGTTACTCTGTTGCCATGCTGGTTTATTCACAGCTAAGTTTTCTGTCGTAAAGTACATTCTATTTAGCATTACACCTCATTGTAAAACAGCAATATATTAATGCGCAGTCTCGGTTTCTAATTCACAAATATTTTTTTTTCTGACAAGTCGTAATAAGTTTCAGACGAGTTGGCATAAGCTTTCTGTGTATCTCCTGCAGAGCACTTAAGGATCACTTTATCCCCCCTCTCTCTAACACAACGCTCCTATGTAATATTTTCGGAAGGATAACTAACTCTTGCATCCATCATAATCATGTTAATTCAAGGATTTATTCCGTAAAATTCAATTTTGCTAAAATAATAAGACATATGGAAAACAATTCTTTACCGTATTATATTTTCTATATTTCATATATTAATTGATTATTAAAAATATATGAGAAAAAAATTTCTGTAAACAGTTAATTCCTGATTTATGAGATAAAATGTCTATGATAAATGTTGTGATTTAATGTATTTTATATATTTAGCTTGGGAATCACTAGTTTTAATAACATGAAATATTTACATTTGCAAATGTTTTCCTTTATATAACACTACTGAAAGCAATGCGTATCTATAACTGTATAAATACAGGTAGGGGGTTCAAGAGGTCATAGGTGTGCATATAGATAATCAATCGAGTAATTTCTTAGTGACGTCATAAAGGGTCGACGCGCGTTCAGTGGATAACATACATGCCGTTGGGTTTGAAAAATAATGCATTTCACACGAAAGTCACAATCAGTTAAATATAAAGTATGAAAAACTCACAAATGTAAAGATAAGTATTAAGGTATCATTTTAAAACATCTATCGGGCTATAAATGCGGGTTATTCATATCCCGATAGATGTTTAAAAATGATACCTTATTTCTTAAATAATTGTTGTTTAATATGAATTGTAATTCTTAATTAAATTTCTTTCAAATGCATGGTATTAATTTCCATGTTGAATTTTTAAACAAGGGAATAAGTGACTTTAACAAAAATGTCAGCCCAGGTACCAAGTAACTTTACTAATAGATATTTAAACAGTGACATGCCTTTTGATTTGATCTAAAGAAAATAGATATTTTGTATGAGTAAACATTCATGCATTTTTTAGATTCTGTGTATCTCCTGCAGATCACTTAAGGATCACTTTATCCGGTGGCTTTTTGTCCGTCCGTCTGTCACACATTATATCTCGAGAATTATAATATATCAATTTGATAGTTTGCCCACATACACTTGTGCCTTTTGTGTTTTCCGATGGTTTTTGACATAGTTATCCTTGAACTTGACCTACTTTTTAATATACACTGTAACTGCTTGTATCTTAATACGACTTCTTATTGTCAATTAAGAAGTAAACATATGCTATTTATAATGTGCACTTTTTGTCATAAAACATTTTGGGAGTGAAAAGTCACTGGACTAAGAAGGTGGGGATTGAACGCAGTAACTTGCGAAAAAAGTAGTTTAATTTAATTTTTTAAATCCTTACCATAAGATTTTGTACAACTCACAAGCAGAAATATCAGGGTAATGCCGACTACCATGTCCATCTTTCTTCTTTCCTATTCAAAATAAGTTTTCAAATATATGGAGATAATGAGCACAAGTAACACTCAAAAGTCCATAATTGAATTAGTTACACAGTCAAAGAACAAATGTTGCAGTCAAGCCTGTACGGGAAAGTAATTTGATACTTGTAAGTGGTAGGACTAAAGGTCATTGGCTCATAGAATATCAAAAACTCCCGTGCCATTATTAAGTGTGACCAAAAAAAATAAGCATTGCATAAGATATGCGCTTAAATATGCCTTTTTTCTACTGGGAAATGAAGAGAAATTTGTGTTATGTTTTGCTTGTTTAGGAAACATTGAAATGATAGTTCTATAACCAAACAACTTAATTTGATGTTGATAAGACTGAAAAGGAACGACAAAATTAATAAACTAATAAATTTTGTGTCAATACTCTTTTCAATTATATGGTGACTACACAGGAAAAATGTCCACATGTGTTGAACATATGTTAAACATGTGTTTAACATATATTTTTTACACATCTAAAACACATAAAAGGAGCACACATGTATAGGGTGTTTATTTTTACACATGTTAAACATATGTTTCACATGTGTTTAACATGTGTAAAAATAAACACATTGTATATTTATACATATGAAACATGTGTTAAACATGTGTTTTATATATGTTATACTTTATATGCGAATTATACATGTATGATATTACTGTTGTACTTATTTTCATTTTTATACTTTTTTCATGTCTGTCCACAAATGTGAATAATATGAAATGGGCAGCATATGTAAGTCAAATGAAATAGTTACATCTGTTCTCTTTCAATATTTATCACAAGGAAAAACACATTCTTGTACACATTTAAAAATCAGATATTTCTGCTTTAGATGAATATCCATTACATTCCAATGATCTATCTTCATGGGTTAAATATTTGAAAATTAATATCTTAAAATGCTTACACAACTTTTTTGATAAATCATTTTCATCAAGAGAAATAACTTATTTTTCAGTGTACTTTCTAAACAGGAAAGTATACAAACAAGTCAGTAGCATTTGTCGATACATATATTTTACATATTCTAAGTTGAGTACAATTATAAGATTTCCACAAAATGATTAAATAGTTAAACATGCATACATGTACAAATGAATAACATAATTAGGCCATGTACTTTTTTATAATTTATATGATTTGACATGAAAGTGTCCAAAGCAAAATTGAAATATCACATATAACATTTGTCATGTATTCTCTATTGTAAATTTATGAAAAATCCAGTTATTTGATATTACAGCATGCAAATAAGAATGAGAATTAAATCTTCACAGGTCATATGCAGACAAGATTGTGTACATCCTCCCAATTTCATATATTTTCTTGTTCTTTTTCCTTCTGTATCTTTCAGTTTTCTTCAGTTGTCCTCCCTCTGATCTTCCATGAGCTTAACCATTATGAACTCTCTTTGAACTGTTACCAAAATGCAAATCCACCATTTCTCCCTTTCCTGAACAATTTCTTTGTGGCACAGAATGGTCTCTACAAAAATTTCAAAAGTAAAAATAAAACAATTCTTAAATTACAAAATCAATTCTACAAGTAATATTAAAGTTCAGCAAACAAATGTATGCCCAATTCACCAACAGAGATATGATAAGAGATAAAACTAATGTTATATATACTATACTAGGTGTTTTGTGGAAACCTATGATGTAATTTGCAAGACAATTACACTGTTGGAAGATTTGCTTCATAATAAAGTCATAAAAAGGCTAAAAAAGCATTTTTTTTATTTTGAAAATTAAATTTGGAATGTTCAAACAGTATTACTAATATTCATATCGCCGAAAATTAAGAAGATTCTGACACAAATATTTTATTTTTGGACAAAAATACTACAGAGAAGTAGACAGGCAGAAAAACAGACAGTGTGATTCCAGGATATCCCAAACGTTGTTTTGAAGATATCTTCTAAGCATAACTAAAACTTAATTAAACTACAAAACTACAACTACAAAAAAGAGAGAGTACATGTTTGTAGGTTCTTAATAGTCTTAATAAATATCTTACTTTTTACCAGAAACTATGTTCTCTAGTGTTGGAAAAAAATAATAAATGTCAGGTAATGAATACCGGTACATAATAGATGTAAATATCCAATGGATTAGCTAGCTGATGTACTTTCAACAATCAATTCATATGCACATGTACTTGTACCTTGAAAGTTGGATGTCACTGTTATTATTAATTTTTAACTGAAATTCAAAATCAATAACCCCCCCTTCCCCACTGAAGTCATTTACAGTAAAGTAAATTCTATTCATACTTTCCATATTTTAAAAGTGCACTGGATTAAAACTGTTTTATAATATAGAATAAAATTATTGTAGCATTGAGTTGGACTTATTATTTATGAAGTCGTACAAACAACAAATGTAGAATTATAAAGGAACCAAAAGAAATTACAATGTAACAAAAAATATTTTGTCATGAAGGAGACATTACAGATGTTTACTTTGATTTTTTATTGCAAGTAGTATTTATTTTTACCTTTAATATTGTGAAGATGCAATCTTCTGTCAAATCAGCTTTAGGATCAATCGCTAGTCTTATCAGCTTTGGGCTTTTTAGACGCAGCAATGTGACACTGAACTCAAGTTACTGCATGCATCTCTAGGCCATAAAAACAAACATTTGTCATTAAGTTGATGAAAGAATCGACTTGACAGCCATCTCAGCATACATAAACACCAACTGACAGTCACAATGGTTTCAAGGTTTCCACTTTCACTTTCATATCAGTCACAAAAGGAAAACCAATAATGCCTTTAAAAAATAGCCTAACATGTAATGTTTACGTTCATTCAGAAACAAATTTATCCAAAATTACTTACCTGTATACAAATTATAAAAAATAGTAATGCCTTTAGCCTAACATGTAACCGCTTACATTCACGGGCACTGGAAGTTAATATAAATAGTATAGTATGTGTATGTATATAAAAAAAAGAAGGGTCTTTTTTATACATACACATACTATATATTTACATTAACTTCCAGTGCCCGTGCTTACATTCAGTCAGAAACATTTTTCACCAAAATTACTTACAGATTATTATCGTTAGGTTTACGAAATGCATGACAAGTCACAATGATAAGAGTATTACATGTATATAGAAAGTTCATACGCACCTGTAACTATAATGAAATGATATTTAAACAATATGACTTAAAAGTCTTTTTAAAATTGTTTGGAGATCACTTACCTTTCCACGTCTGCTGCAGCAGTGACGTCAAAAATGACGTACATTTTCATCCGATAAAAGACAAAACCGGCCCGGAGACAATTACGGAATTATTCTAATTTTACTCAAGAAGTAATCCAAGCCCAAAAGATTTAAAATGAAAAGAAAATGAATTCATTCTTTATCAATTTTGTCTGATAAATGCATTATTACAGAAAAAAAAATTGTGAAAGTTTTTTTTAGAAGGGAAAGGGGGGGGGGGATAAACAAAGTAAAACTTGACATGACTCATGAGTAAAATTTTACTAACATTTACAAATTCTTTTGAATTAATATACACACACATATGAGATAAAACTTAACATGTGTATAACATGTGTTTATGAATACACATATATTTTATATAAATTAAACATGTATATAATTCATCTGTATTTTTGCACACATATATTACATATATATAATACGTGTTATACATGTGTGGTGAAAAACATGTGTTTAACATATATATTATCTCACAGGTGTATAACATGTGTATATTATATATGTTTTACATATAAATGAAACACATATTTTACATGTGTTTATTTACACACATGTATTACATGCATAAAACATGTGTTGAACACATGTGAAACCAAACATATGTTTAACACATGTGGACATTTTTCCTGTGTAGATAAGACCAACTTAAACAGAAACATTATTTATATGTAACATTGATAGGAAATGTACTAGAATAGACCGACAATCCACCGTAGGTTTATTAAACGAGAGAGGTAGTCATCAATCTCGACAAAACAAATATTGTTTTACCGGATATTTGAATGGGAGGTGGATTCCTTCCATTTAATTAATAAAAAAATCTTAAATTGGTGTGATTTAAATAAAACTTACCTTATCATGCATACATCATACATTTTTCGGCAGTGTCCTTATCATGAAAAAGAACAAGTTTATAGGTTCATTGTCATTCCAATAAAACTAAGCGTTTTAAATACTACGTCGTCTTACAACTTCCTAGTTGGTTTATTTACATGTATAAGTAAAGTAAAATTATAAAGCACTTGTATGGAACGCCATCACTGCCTTATAGCATAAAACTATGCATTCATTATGTCAATCTATCATTACGTGATGTGAACATATCTTTACGATATGTCAATTTTTTATGGGGTAATGTAAGAATATCTTTACATCATGTCAATGCTGCATTACATGAAGTAAACACATTCTTCCATTATGTCGGCACTTTATAACTTGAAGACCAAAGTTCATTATATGAAGTTAAAATATGTTTACATTGTGTTAAAACTTTATTACGTGAAATGAATGTTTCTTTATATTATTTCCTTTCTTTAATATGTGAGGTCAAAATTGCATTACGTCAAGTTAATTTCGTTTTACATGTATTCTATGATTAAATTTATCATTACATTAAGTCAAAGTCCATTCCCTTTTGTGAGTGTATATTTCTATTATAACAAAGCATTATTACGTGATGTTAATGTATTTTTATTTTACGCCCAGGTCATCACAATGTGAGGTGAATACATCTTACCTTTATGTCAATGCTTTATTACGTGATGTAAAAGGGTTTATAACATAATGTGAACATATATTATGGAGACAGTCTCGGCGTTCCATATTATATCAACACTTTATTACATTATGTCAAAACTCCATTCTTTTATGTGGATATTTAATAAGAATATGTTAACTCTTTCTTATGTGATTTAAAACTATCTTTACATTGTGTTAATTCTTTATCATGTTGATTACAAATGTTCATTACGTGCTGTAAAATACATTTACATTATGTCAAAGTTGATAACCGTGTTTTCACGACTAGGAAGGAGGGGTCCTGATTAATTAGGACGAATTACAGACACATTATATGAGGGGGGGGCACCGGTCTGACTTCCTCTTTTTTCCAACATAATTTTCTCATAGAAAATGTTCATTGAAATTCAGCCCCACTTTTTGCTGAAGTGTAAGGGTAATGTAGTATATTTGGAATTTTTTTTTTAGGACTGATCGAAGTTGGACCCCCCCCCCCCCCCCTCTTCACCCGAAATTGGATTTTCGAGTTTGGATAATTTTTTTTTTTTTTTTTTTTTTTTTTTTTTTTTTTTGCTTTTTCTTGTACGTTATTTTTTTCTGGCTGACAAACCTCCCCCAACTTTCAAAAACGATGCAACGTCACTGGAATTAGTCATTTTTCAACTATTACAGGACCAGAATTTTGTTACAAAAATCTACCAGTCCCTCACTTAAATCAATTGACCATGCCTTAGTAAACATGGGTTCATATCAGTAGCGATCTTGGGTTCTTGAAAAGAGTAGTATCGGGGGACGATATGGTGTCTAAGTTGGGGACCAGGGGGTGAAAGCCCGGAAGCTTTCAGGCTTTAGATTTTTTTATAAAACGTTTCAACTTTTATCAGTTATACTTTTGTGTAAAACTGATGCAATATCCTACAAAGTAAAATTAATTGATTAATTTCATGCATATTTTGGTCACTAAAGATGGGAGGGTGGTATTCCCCCTCTTCCCACCAACCAACCAGTGCACGTATGAAATACAATGTGTTTAGTAGACACTTTTTTTTTAAAGGAGGGTTAAAGACTGATAAAAAACTTAGGACAGTGTTTTGTAGTAAGATCAGAAGTTTCGGACTTTTCAAAATAATTCAATATAAAAAGAAAAATATTGCTGCATGACACATACTATTATTTGCGATAATTATAACCAAAACCTTACGTCACACAATAAAGAGCTGAAATATTCTAAGATATGCTGACAAGAGGCTAAGCATTTTAGACACAATGTAAAGATACAATGGCATAACATAATAATGACTTGTCAAAAAGAAAGGGAAAATTGACACCATGTAATAGATTCCCGTCGTCATGTAGCATATTGATGACACAATATAGTAAAGAATTGGCCACATGTGACATTTTTTTCCACATCATGTAATGAAATTCTGACATCGTGTTATAGCGACTTGATATTGAATTAAAGATAAATTCACATCATGTAATGAACTACTTAGACGAAATAATAGAGAGTGCACATAATGTAATAATGAGTTGAAATTATATAAAAACACGTAAAATTGTTTTGACATAATGTCATAAAGAGCTGATATAATGCAATGGAAGATTGGCGCAATGTAATTGAAGTGCGAGTTAATGCCATAAAGACTTAACATAATGTAATGGACAGTTGACATAACGCAGTAGTAGTGTGTGTAAATGTCATAAAGAGTTGACATAATGTAATGGAAAGTTGACACAATGCAATTGTAGTGTTCTGCTATAAGGCAGTGACGGCGTTCCATACACTTGTAACTAAACGATAGGTTCTCAACGGAATTTATCATTACAGGGACGCAGTGGGTGTAACCGATTGACAAGGGATGCCCATTTCTCCGTGTCCCCTGATCTTAGCTGTAGGTCCGCATTGTAATTGATGTTTATTTGAGATTGAATACCAATTGCACTGTTTCCTTTATATTTCAAAAACCGTGAAATAAAATACTCCACTGAAAGATGGAAAGCTCGAAGTTCCGTGGTTCCACTCGATATGTTTGATGAACAGAAAAAGTTAATTTACTTTGAAACATTTTCAGCCGTCATCAATACAATATAAAAGACATTAGTCTTTCAACGCTTAAGAATGTTTTTGCAATCAATTATACCTTCTTTCTTCATCTTCTTTGTCATTAGCCTGTATTTTCTCAAAATAAGATGTTAGTAGGCGAATGGTCGTTAAAAGAAAGAGGGAAAACTCCGATGAAAAAAAAATTTGAATGAGCTTTTCTCTAAGTTGAATTTAATAAATAATACTGGCTGGTGGTGGCTCATTTAAAACTTGTTTTGTTAAACTCTACATGTACCTAAACACCAATGAAAAGACTTTTTGTGTGTATTAATACAAAGAGCATATTATGTTTTCTAAATAGGCTGTATTTTGTTATAAATATAAAAAGATTAAAATAAAGGATTAAATTTAAATATCTACACAGCTAATTGTACCACGTATGTGTAACACGTGCTTTCAAATAATATAATTACCTCGAGTTTCTAAACTTGTTTCTAATTGTCTTTTAAAAATTTACGGCTTCTTTTTTTTTACTTTGGCAACTTAATATTTTTCCGAAAAGGATTATACAGGCAAAACCATCATTTGGTATCTTATACAAATGCCTGGTAAGGTTCATTTTTTTGCGAGTTAACTTGAAAAAGAAGCAATACTTCAATGACAAAATCTTGCAAAAAATTATATATTATTAAGGAACGTATCGTGTGTAAATATGATCTCTATTTTAAAAAAAATGTTTAATAGATGAAACACATGAAGATAACGAACAGTATTCAAAATCAAAAGTCCATAATACAATAGAAAATAGGATCAGAGCAAAAGGACCTCCAAAACATCGGAGGTGGGATCCGGTGCCATGGAAAAGTGAGCGTATGCTGACCGGTCACATCCGTAGTGTGCTCCTTGTCATCATCGGGAAATAACGGGAAAATTCTTCAATTAAGTGTATAAATAATGGACTAACAGTAAGTTTAAAAACCTCAGTCAGCATTTGACTGAATTCAATAATTTGTATTTGCTCAAAAGGTCATTGTATCGATCATAAAACTTACGAAATACTTCCTGTTTAATTTTTGTACAACCTCCTTATCTTGATCATCGTAAAAAACGTTAAGTATATATAAGAAAAGTATCCAGTATTCTTACACCCACACATAAGGGTACATTTTGTTCCCAATTAATATTATTAATGAGCATTATGTTATTGAATGTCTCGTTTAAGTCACTCATTGTAGATTATATTTTCAGTTTGGTCCCGTTGTTACGGAAAATACCAAAATCAGCTGTATGGATCATTCATTATTCCATTTGTGTGATCCCTAATACAAACACCCGCCGTGTATGTTTTCTAAATAGGGAAATTTTGTTAAAAATATAAAAAGGTGTGAAAATAATTGAATAACAATTCTTATGAAAAACGTACACAGCATTCTACCTCATGATAAATTGTATCTGCTAACAAGGTCATTGAATGGACTATAGAACCTAAAATGATAATTTCAAAGGAGACTGATTATATTCTTGTTTCATCAATATGTTTGTTTGTCAAAAACTTACCTCCTTTTTAAAATAAAAGTAAAGATAAGCATATAGAATATTGTTTTTAATATCAAAAATTGAGAGATATAAACTCCATAAGCAGGTGATCAAGGTTTATTGCTGCTTAAGAAATATACATTGATGATTGATGTTACTGTCATCAAGTTTATCAAAGAGCTTGGATTTTAGGTTACCATTAACGTCTTTTTAAGCAAAATATCTAAATATGAAACGGATTTGTCAAAATTTGTTGTATCTTTTATCTCAATCTCACCACATTATATCAAATCAACGTAAGTATGGAAATATCTATTGTTATTTGACAGTACGACAACTTGAAGGCCACATCAAGTTTTTTCTGTACACATATAATATTTTTGATATATTCTGCTTCATATGAATACAAAAATATCTCTGCTTATAACAGGGAGCAATTAGTACACATGGGAACTCCAATAGATTGTTGAAATACCGGGTCTTCACAAACCACATAGATATTGTCAATCAGAAACACAAACATCTTTTTGACGTCAACTTCAGGGTACTTGTGTGTACAATGAAACAATACAAATCAGGAGCAGAGCCAATAGGGACCTCTTTAACATATGATAAATTGATTCGGGTGCTAGGAGGACCGGAGTGATCTTCCCCGTTTACAACCGCAGTATAACACATAATAAGAAGATCCATTGTTATTTCTTTTTGGGGGGGTCAACTACAAACATGCTTTCGATAGAGAAATTTGTGGTTTATTCAATCAAGCTTAATTTATAATTGTCTATATCTAAATCCTTTTATCAATTAAAATTAAAAGAGAACCTCAAGATAAGATCAACAGTTTAAAAAGTGCAGACTATACAACTCAAGTGCATGGTTGCAATTTGTTAAAAACATAGGAGTCTTCTGATAATGTTGCTCGGTAGTAAACTTTTCACACCTCTACTTCTGAACATTTCCTTATATTTTGTCAACAGCCTCGGTGTCATGAGAAAGTTCTTCGTATGTGTTTGATATATCAAGCGCACATATGTCGGTATAATGGGATCCATCCCTAGTATGAGACAAAACAAAGGAATACGAAGCGAAGTTTAAGAATATTGATAAGGATGTCAGTTTCAATTTTAAGTATGTAAGTATATAAAAAGGTTACCTACCCTTCACCAGTTGTTGATTTTCCTGAAAAAGAATCCATTATAAAAGAATTTCGATGTCAACTAAATATAAAAACCTCTGCTGTTATCCTTTTGTTAAAGTAGCAATTGAATTTTAAAACCTCATTTACATTGTAGACATATAACTTTCTGGGAAATACTTTAAAAGGATGAAGAAAGCTATTGAAAGGTAAAGATTTTTAAACATTGCATCTTCTCACGTAAGATAATTCACTTGCTTAAAAATTTAATGTATGCACATGTAATTGACATTAAGATGGCTCTAGAAACATTTTATCAGACCTCTCATTCCGGGAGCATCCACATTCCTCATCTTTGCCCTTGAAGCTTTTGGCTATAAATAGAAATAAAGCCAATATGCCTTATCAAATAATTTTTTTTGAAAATAAAATCGCTTAACCCAATAATACCCGAATTATTATTTCTAGTTTATCAGATATAAAACTTACCTTTTCAGTTCTATCTAAAGAAAAATAAAAGGATTATATCTTATATTTAGTTAAGTAAATGATATGTTATAGATATATAATATTATCATAGATTTTTTTGTATTTGAATTATTTATAATTATTTATTTTATCAATAAAAACGTTATTTCCCTCTGTTTTCATATAATTTGTTTAGCTGCAAATCTTAGTTTTGGAATTCCTAATTTGATTACATGAAAGTAGTACATTTAATTACCATAAATTATAATTAATAAGAACGTGCAAACTTTATTCTGAAAAAAAAAATGAAAATGCTGAAATTCTGTATATTGATATTTTGACCAATTATTCATACTTTTTTAGTGCATAAAAAGCGTTGATTTCAGCAATTTATTTACATGTACTTACCATTTTTCCTCTTCCATATGATAAAGTTAAGAATACTTCCAGTCAGAACAAGAAATAAAGAGATCACAAGGCTTATAATGATACTAGTGGTGTTGGGTTCACAATTGTCACACACACATCTGCTAAGAATAGATCCTGTAAAATGAGGTATTTATGGATAATTTGATGCGATACTCGTACATATTGAATTTAATTGCATTATTTAAAATTTAGAAAATAATATTTGCAGAATCAAAAGGTAGAGATACACATTGTAAAATAAATCATGTTTTCTTTTTCCTCAAACACCATATACTGTTGCGATGCAAATCAATATGTTACACCTTCATCACAAAGAGGTCCGTGTAGCCCCTCTATACAGCCCTCGTCACAAACACCGGTGATGACGTCACATGTTTTAATCAGTAGTACCCCTACCACACATGAACCCCTTAGGCCTAGATCCACACATTGAATATTTTTTGAAAAGGCATTCTTGCTTTTCAATGCTGATTACAATCATGCCAACAGTTTGACTGCTTGATGTCCAGAAGTAAAGAAGATTTTTAAAGATTGCATTAATTTTAGTGGTTTTGGTCCCACCCCTCAGGCTCCAGAGGGGCAGGGATCATGAAATTCACAGTTTTTGTTCCCCTTTACCCATAGATGCTTTTTTCCAAATTTGGTTGGAATTGGTTCATTGGTTGCATAGAAGTAGCTGAAAATGTTCAAATGTTAACGCACGACGCACAACGCACGGCGACGGACGAAAACAGATAGCAATAGGTCACCTGAGTTTACTCAGGTGACCTAAAAGATTGATATAATTATGATAAAATCAAAATAACAAGAAAATGAAGTTTTAAGGGTATAATACTCATTAATGTTATTCTTTTTTTAAATCCTACATTTCTAGCAATCTAGAAAAATCATAAGATATCATTTCTATTCAGCATCAGGTCATTTTTTTGTGTTGCGTGTATTCATTTTAATGAAAAGTACACTTTTATTTTACAAAAAATAAAAAAAATTGCACCTCCACACAAATATTTCTTTATACTCTTTTCTAAAAGTATTGTTTCTAATTTGTTTTTTATTTTCCTGTAAATTCTTACTTACACTAAGGCAGAAAAAGGTACCTGTCGAACATGTCGCCCCATGAAATCCAGGAGAACACCCCTTTTCACAAGTTCCATTCACGTGGTGACAATATGATCCATTGAGACAGTGTCCACAGATCTGATGGCAGTCATCGCCATACATACCTCCCTCACATTCTTATAAATCATCAGCAGGCATTATATCATTATATAATGATAGCAGGGAAATTGAAAAAATAAAAAGTTTAATTAATGGGAAAGAACAGTATTTATGGACGGTATTGTCATATTCAGAAAATAAGTTTGGTTGTCATCTCCCGTCATACTGGCTTGAAATAGCCGAGTCAATTTTTTTTGAATTTCAGAACACTACAACTTTTTTTTCCTTTTTCCCCCTCTTATCCCTAAACGAATATGTTAAAATTATCAGTGTGGAAAATTTCCCGCCTACCTACCGACCCATTAATTTTTACCTTGAGCGCGAAAAAAAAGCAGGTTTTCTGTTATTTTTCCGGCCATCTACATTTTTCAAATTTGCTAGCCTAAATTTAGAAAAAGGAAACCTTTTTTATTGGTACAGAATATTTAAACTTTTAAAGAATTTTCTTTCTTTCTTTTAAGACAAGTAAAAAATGATAAAATTTTAAGGTTTGGACATTTTTGACCATGTAAACAATTAATCCCGTCCATGGCAAAGACTTTAAGCATTTCTAGACAAATTTGAGATTAAGATTTCAATGCATTTTTAGTATTTCTTGTAATTTTTGTATATACCAATGTAAATCTGAAAGCAGGTACATGTATTGTGTAGTTTCTGAAAATTATTATCAAAAAATTTCAGTTGCCATTGCAACGAAATACAATATAATCATGCTGGAATTTCCATTTCTTCAAGAATAAGTTTAGTTTTTTTTTTCAGTTTAATTCTATTTATTATTTTTTGCTAAGTTAAAAATATCAAAAATAATTTATTGTTGTGTGGAAAATTATAAGTAAAATGTAAATCTTTTACAAACCAATTTTAAGTATCTTGAGGCGATGGGTAGGGTTTGGGAGGTAATCACCAGAATTTAGCATTTTAACATAAAACGTGTTACCCCTGCATAGATTTGAAAATGGCAAAATCGCTCAAGTAATGTGCAAAGTTTAACTCAAACTAGCAAAAAACTGGTACAACCAATAAAAACAATTTCCGTAAAATATTTAATTGTAATTATTTTCTCTTTCCAAAAGTGCAAGATTTATTCTGATATTTGCAGTATTGATGAATTTATGACTGTTTTTTTTTTACACTATACTCATTTTTCAAGTCAGATGCGTAGAAATGCGTATATGCCATGTAAGGGGTTAAACTGTTCAAATTAGTAAATGGTTTTTAGTACGAAAGTATTGCAATGGACAATACTAAGTATTAAACACATACTTTTCAGGCAATACACTTGATATCAGAGAAAACATATGAAAAATGTCTTCAGCAACGAGTTCTCCTTTACTTAACATACATCAGGCCCAAAAGCATAAATTGACATACTTACATGTAAGTCCAAATTATAAATTTGGATAGGTATTTTAATTTTCATTAGCCGTTTTAACTTAAAAATTGAGTATAACACATATTTTCAAACACGTTATGACAATTGTATTTTCTTATCAACATTTTTTTAGAGTTATATCGATTTTAGATTAGGTCTTTGGGCCAGGAATATATTTTATCAAGGTATTTATCCCTTCAATATCCCTTGACTTACTCTGTGTACATCTGGGTGTCTCCCAACCTGGCTTACATTTCCCCATACACTCCCCTGTAAACAGGTCACATCTGTTTGTAACAAAGCAATTCTCACTGCATCTCTGACCGCAATTCTTTCCATAAAACCCCACAGAACATTCTGTGCAGAATGAAGAGGTAATTTATAAGCATATTAAATCTGTTAACACATAATCAGATTTTTAGTCTAAAATAGTTCATGAAGTGAAATCCTCGGCTAGTAGTATATCTTCTGACTGATTTATTTATTAAAATTTCGATTGAAATATTATACATTTCTGGTATCTAAACAATTATTTGATACGTATGTTTTTTAATAGTGTAAAATTTCATATGATAGACACTGTAAAGAAACATTGATACACAAAGCACGATTTTTGAAAAGGTATAATTTTTGGTACTTGCTAAGCTCTTTCAAGAACTTGAATCATTTAATCATCTGCTTGAGAAGATTTTCTTTTCAGTTTAAATTTCTTTTGTTTGTAAACCTAATTATACATTGTATATTTGCGTGTTATATTTTTTTCAATATAAAGGTAGAGTTATACCAGTCTGACATTTCTCCCCTGTCACCCCCTCACTACATCCACTTATACATTCCCCGGTCACGTGGTGACAGGGGTCGCCATCACTGCAGTTACCACATAATAAAACGCAGCCAAGCCCATAACTATACTGATTACAGGCTATAAATATAAGGAAAGTACCATTGGAGTATGATTTCATATAAACATATTTACTTCAAAAATGTTTTTTTTAAGATATGCACTTTTGTTTGGTACTAATGTATTCATGTAAATAAACACATGGTGCATGAATTCAGAAAACATAAAGAAAGAAAAACATCCTTTATCTAATTAAGGAGAACACATTGTTTCCTTAACGTTTTTTACGTACAAATTAAAAAAAACTTTGAAGAAATCTTTAATTTTCTCTATCATAAAATATTGAGTTTAATTAAAGTTGAGGCGTGGTGAATCTTTAACATTTGCCTTGAAATGAAATTTGAGTGGATAACGAACGGTATTCAAGCTCAAAAGGTCATTAAACAATTATATTAAATTGGAGTAGAGTAAACAAGAATTTTCAAAACCAAAAATAAACATACCACAAAAACGTACCTTGACTGCAGCGAGTTCCTTGATAGCCCGGTACACAGCCCAGACAATGGCCGGTGGTGATGTTACACCTCTGCTCTTGACATTTGTCAGGA